TGGGGCTTCGATGGTTGCTAACCTCTGCTTGAGGCTCTCTGCCTGGCTGTGGGCCCAGCTCATGAAACGGGCCTCCTGTCCCCCAGCCTGCTGAGGAACCCTGCTGTTACCCAGGCTTCTCCCAGGCCAGCCCCACGGCCCTCATCCACCTTCCTGCCACAGAGCCCAGGTCTCCCACATCCTGACCTGGTTCTCCAGTAAAGAGGGTGAGGAGGGTCAACGGAGGCAGGTCAAGGAGAGGAACCTGCAGGGTTTGGACTAGGAAGCTTTGCCTTTTCTGAGTTCTCTCTGGTAACTACTTACATTCGCTTAGTTGTAGGCTACAGATGTCCATTGCTGAGTGTGTGGAGCTATTTTAGTTAATTATGACACAATCTTTGGGCTTTTCCAATCATTACAAATGACCAAGAAGCATAGAATTTGCCAGCTGGCAGGGGCTTGGAGATGACATAGTCCAAAGTCTTCCTGTGACATACAAGGGGGCCGAGAGGTGACGTGCCTCACCCAAGGTCATCCTGCAGTGCGTAGAAGAGCTGGGGCCTGAACTTGACACTTAGCTCTTGGGCCAGTTCTCCTTCTACACCCTCACTTCTCTCCCACAGTCGTCCATTCTTCCTGAGCTCTCTAAGCAGGGGCCACTCGTTTGCTTCCCGACTTTGACTGAGATTCATGACTTTGATTTGATTTACAATTTTGATTAAGAAGTTACATGAAAAAAAAAATGTTTTTCAACCTTGGAGCAGTAACGCTTCCATGCAAAATTCATAAAAATTCATGGGCCTCTCCCATGTCTCACAGGAGGACATGAAACATGGCTATCTCTGAGCTTGCACTTTAATATGAACACACTGATGATTCCAGGCAGGGGAAGGATAAAGCAGGCTTGGCTTGTGGGGAAAGTCCAGGGTGATCCTATTCCTATACACAGATTGGGTGCTAATGCTACCTTGTCTATATTAACTCTTTAACCTACCTTTTATCAGTGTAGGTGTTTTTTCCCATTGCTCCTGTATTTACCCATGCAGACGCACTTATGCAATCCCTACCATATCCCAGGGTTGCACTGGGTGCTAAGGATGTGACAACAAGTCAGTATTGTTTTTGCCCTGGAGTCACACGAAAGAGATGACCACAAAATGCCAAAGCTGGCAGAGAGTTCAAGGGCTTCCAGGCCAAACCTCTC